AGTTAAACTGCTTAAGAAGTATATGAAGTCTACACAAATACAACAATTAAAAGTACATCACATACTTCCTTTTAAGTCTACTACAAGGTATAAAGACAGTGGGTTTAACTTACTGTTTTTATTCCTGTGCTTGTACTTTTCCTCCTCTGTTTAATATTACACTTGTTTCATTTTGATGTCTTTTCAGGATTTTACTTCTTTTGAATTTCATTAACTTTACCCAACTACCTAAAACACACATCTCAGCCTTGCCAAGGTAAAAGAGTAAAACTGATTTTCTGGGCTCATCTCATAGGTGTTGAAATGTGTGTGGTGGGTTGGGAACTTTTGCAGAACAGCACTTCATCTGTATCTCTTAGAGCTGTTTCTTTGCAACTTGTTTTCATCAAAACTGAGGAATTCTTTAATTTGTGCATAGTTTGTAATCCCCATTATCCTGACCTCTTACTATGAACTTAGTCTTTTAGCATTATTCAGATTTATAAATTCATTATTTTCATTTCATTATAATTTGTATAAATTTGTAGATAAGGTATGGGATCTTTTTTAATTAGTCTCTTCTTTAAAATACATTTTCATCTTCTGGGTTTTTTCTACCTGATTATTATGTGTACCCATCAGTGTTTATCATTCTTCCAAGTTCTTAGTTATGTGTAAGTCCCTCTCTACAAGTGTGTGATTTCTGATTAATAAATAATTCTTCTGTATGAATTAGAAAGAGGCACCTCCTGCAGAATGACACAGCCCCAGAACTTGGGTGCCTGGTTTTGAAAACAAAGACTGGACAGATTTTCATTTTCTATTTTTGGGCACCCTGGAACTTTACACAATCTAAATATTTATACATAGTAGCCATTGATATGATACTTGTTTTTTCCAATATGATTTATGATTAACGCATTGCTTTTCCTATGTTCTTTCCTGCTTAGTCACTTATAAAAACAAGTATATGTCTATATTTGCACATGCTTAAATATCCATGCATTTTGCTATATAACATGCATTTTGCTATATAAAAATAGCAAATCTTAACTACCCTGAAATATTTGTTCTTTTCATAAGTTTTGAGTATATCATCATATACTCAGTCTTTTACTAAAATAGTTTCAATTAATGACAATACATGTGTTCAAAAAATAAAATTTAGTTATGGAAGCCCCTTGAAGGTAGTTTTCCATTCTTTTAATACTGACTCTGACATTATTGAAACAATTAAAGAGATTCCTAATAGCAAAAGGATTTATTTTTTTTATATAACCTAAATCATCAGTTATCTCCTTTACCAGTTCTTTAGAAGAGAAGAAATATTAGGGCAGAGGGATTCTTTGGAAAATCGAAGGAGCTGGGTGTGCTGTCTCACACCTTTGACCCCAGCAGGTCAGGCTAATGAGATGTCCCAGTAGGTAACCACACTTGTTGCTGAGCCTAATGACCTGAGTTCCAGTGGAAGGAGACAACTAACTCCTGCAAATTGTCCTCTTAGTTCCATTTCCATGCTCTAGCATGTGCAAATGTGCTCTCTCTCTCTCTCTCTCTCTCTCACACACACACACACACACACACACACACACACCTGTGCACACATACACAAGATTACACAGTAATTAACTGGTTTTATTAAGCACTCTAAGAATTGGGCTCTATTCTCTAAAGATGAAAGAGACATTCTATAACAGTAGAGCCTGCCTTTAAAGAACAATGGGCTGCTGAAAAACTCAGATATTGCCAGGATATCTGGAAATTGGCACAATCTAAGTATTTCAGGTTCTATCCCATGCTTTCTTCAGGCCAATGCCCTACTGTGAAAGGGATCCATTTATATGGAGGTGAAAGCAACATTTCTTTAGTCTTAAAAGATGAGTAGGGGTCCAGCAAAACAATTTAATGGATAAAGGTGTTTTCTGTTCATACTCCATGACTTGAGATATATCCCTGGAATGAATATAAAGATGGAAGGAGAGAATCAACTTCACAAAGTTTGCCTCTGACCTCTACAGACACAATGGTATGAATGCCCCCTCTCATACACACACACAAACAATAAATAGTACTTAAATGATGAGTAGGTATTAGCTAGACCAAGGCACTTGGGAGAAGGGCATTCTATGGAGAAGCTCTTGATTAAACAGACACAGAAAAAAAGATATAGTGAAAATCCTAGCTGGTTAGTATTTTTGATACATGAATTATGAAGCAATGATACTAAAATGATAGCTATGTTGTAGGATTCTGTATTGTGATACAGAATCAACAGGAATTAATATAGTGAGTAAAGGCACAAGCTCTACATAGCTTTGAACGTCAGCTTCACCATTATCTAGCTGTGTAATTTATTCTTAGAAGTTTTTACTCTATAAGGGGAGAACGATTGCTTATTTCATAGAGTAATTTTTGGCATAGAGTTAAGTCTTGTAAAATACTTACAGAATTCAACAAATATTGTCAATTCATGCTATTGTTATTAATTCTTATATTTGTGCAATAGAAAAGTCATTCTAGATTCTTATATGAACAATATTTTTTTTGAGCAAATTAGTACCAGAAAATAGGAAAGCATAGGGAATTAATGCCCTTTAGTAGTTGCCATGGTCATTTGTTGGAACCTTTTCTGATATAGTCCTTTATAACAATTTTAGTGAAATCATATACTTTATAGACTTTTTTGAAACTGGCTAAGTGGCACCTTCCTGTTGTTTCTTCTTGAGAATTTTCCTTAACATGAACCTACATGAAAGGTAAGCTCTCAGGTGATGTAGCAACCCTTTGTTGGTGCCGTGTTTAAAGTACAGCTTAGAAGCCATAGCCTAGGAAGACAAGCTGCAGAAGTAGAAACCTGCAGTCCTAAGAGTGCCGAAAATAGCTTGAGTGAGTCTAATGGGCAGCCTTCTTGTAGGTACAGAGTGTTGTAGTCAACACTACAACTCAGTTTTGTGCCTACTCTATGTAGTACATTGAATAGATCAGCAGGCCATGGGTATTGTGAAAGGCTAAGAAAGGAGTATAGATCCAGCTGTCCTATATCTATTTAGGTATGCAGTTCCAAATATTCTGTAAATGTCAGTTCCCATATCTGTAACATACGGTTAATAATATGTACCATGTTATCTTACAGATCTATCAAGACACCTTTTGTGGTCAACAGTGAGAAAACACTGGGAAAAGTTGGAAAGCAGGTTTTGTGCTAAAATGATCTTCTCGTTTACTGTTTTGAGCTGTGTTCCAGAAAGCTAAGGCTTCTCTGAGCCAGACTTCTGATCAGTGAAGTATCAGTGCCCTCGTGAGAGCACTCCCAGCAGACCTACTCATAGATCGCACTATAGCTGAGACATCTTGTGTTAAATAGTGCCCTAGCCAAAACAAAAACAACAAACAAATAAACAAAAACTTTCCAAAGTGCCAGAGAGACTTTACAGTTTGAAAGTTTTCCTCCATCTATCTCTCTTGTAAAGATGGATGTAAAGCTAAAAGATCGGGACTTTTGGTACAGTCTCCATGGTCAAGTCCCCGGAATGCTGGAATGGGACATGGGGAATGAATTTTTCCTGCCTTGTACCACAGATCAGTGCTCTTTCGCTGAGCAGTGTCTTGTCAAATACAAAGTTCAACTGCTAAAACCACCAGCGCTGCCTCAGGAGAGAACACCCAATCCTGATGATGATGATCCTCCCACGGAACCCAGCTTGTGGATGTGGGTGAATCCCAACATCGTGTACCCGGCCAACAGCAAAGAGGTTCCAAATCCCAGTCATAAAGTTCTGCCAAGTGCACCAATCCCAAAGACTGACGAGTCTAGCTGCTTAGGGACTCAGAGGGTGTTACAATCCCTGTCTGTTCTCCACACTGAGCATTGTCAGCAACAAAGGCTGCCCGTTTTATCCACTGGCCCTGTTTGCAAAGACGAGGAGACTGAGGAACAGGAATGCACATCCTCTAACAAATACACCAAGAAGCACACACTGTACCTTGACCCACACCAGGACAGGGAGTCCTGGCCACGCCCTCCTCTCAACTACAGCCATCTAGTTGCCCTAGCATTAAAAAGCAGCCCTACCTGTGGCCTCAATGTGCAACAGATCTACAATTTTACTCGACAACATTTCCCCTATTTCCGAACTGCACCAGAAGGCTGGAAAAACACTATTCGCCACAATCTCTGTTCCCTGACCTGCTTTGAAAAAGTGCCAGTCCCCGTTGAAGAGGAGACAGATGGAAAACCTCGCTCTTTCCTCTGGAAACTCACTGACGAGGGACACCGCTTCTTTCAGGAGGACACCCGTGTCTTGGCCTATGCTCGAAAGGAGAGCATTAAGCAGTGCATGCGCCAACCAGAACTGATAGACCTACTCTTTCATCTTTAATGTTTTCTTCTTTTCGTGTGTGTGTGTGTGTGTGTGTGTGTGTGTGTGTGTGTGTGTGTGTGTAAGTGTGCGTATGCATGCTTTTGTGTGTGTGGGCACATGTGTGTGGAGGCCCAAGGTTGACATCAAGAATTTTCTTCCATCGCTCTTCCACCTTATTCTTTGAAGTAGGGTCTTTCAGTCAAACCTAGAGCTTATAGATACTGTTCGTTTTACTAGCCAGCTTGCTAGGATCCCTTCACCTTCTCTCTGCTTTCCAAAGGCTGGGATTGTAAGCAGGTCCTCATGTCCACCCAGTCTGGCTCTGGGGATCTGAACGCAGTTCCTCCTGCTTGCATGGCAAGCACTTTAACTGCTGAGCCATCTCCCCATCCTCCTCTTTCGTCTTTGAAGTACAATTGCTCACTTTCTGGAACAGTGCCCTGCTTACTGTACCGGACTAACCTTTACTTATTCATAATCCTACCCTGTTTGATTAGTGCCAAGCCTATCTCTAGCCACTCTTAAGTAGTCAGAGGCAGCTACAGATAGGGCAGAGATTAAATCCAGATGTAGAATGATGGAAAGTTCCACGACAACTGCAATTGCTCTGTTTTGGGCAGAGACAGAAAATCTTAGGAATGATGACAGACAAGCTAAGGATAGAAGAGCATGTTATGTTTATTGGAATAAACTATGAAATATAAAGGAAAAATGCAAAATAAACCCAGGCTACGTGAACCTTGGGTGCCATGTGAAGGTATATGTGCATAAAGAGAGCTAGACTTGGTGTTTAAAATCTGGAGACTTAAATATCCCCCTCTACCATTCATCGATTGCATATTCTTTTGGAGTGACCTAACAGCTTTGTTCTCTTGCTATCCAGCTCTAGTAGTGACAAATGCAGGCAGCTGTTATTTGTTTGAATATTGAAAGTCTTTAAATTGCTTCTGTATTAATTCTAAGCTTTTTGATGACAATGTATGGTGCTCATTCGTGTTTTTCACCAAACTTTATTTGAGAAAATGTAAGGTCCATCTTTAGGTGTTAAATGCAAACACACATTTGTGAAGCCTAGATAATTTATGTGTAATTAAAAAGAGGTGGGAAGTTGCCATGGAAACAGGGAGACATCCTTCCTGGAAACAGGAAAGCATTAAAATTGAAGTGCCTTTTGAGTTAGGTTTGAAGAATAAATGGGAATTCACTGAACACATAAAATGGTGAAGAAACATTATAGGGACAACAGTGTGAATCCTGTTAGCCAGGTGTTTGGCGAATTCTAGAACTATACATACACTAGAGCCCTGAGTCACTGTATTAAAGCTAAGCAAACAGCTTGTAAGTTGTACTTTGGTGTTTAGGGCTCTACAGTACTAAAGACATAATTTGTACATTGCTAAAAAGCACAAATAAAATACCAACATAACAAATACTTCAGCTTTTGGCTTTCTAATTTCAAAATTCATTTTTGTAGGTACTAAGTTCATTAAATTTAAGTAGTTTTTTGCCTTTTGTGTTAATGCATTTTTAAATATATGCTAACATCTAGAGAATAGCTTTTAAATATGTATTTAGTTGCCAAGTATTCAATGAGAGTGTTAAAATGTCTGTACAACATAAAAGCAGCTAATTTAATATGATTACAATAAGGGAGATTTTAATGACTTACTACAGTAGACAAAAACTGCTTCGGTTTAATTGCGAAGGGTGAATAATCAAACAAAATTATTTCTGAAAGTAATTGTAAATGCTGCTTCTGTATCACAGTTACTTTGAAAATGTTGACAGGACACGCGGGAAATAACATTTTCTAGCTAAAAGACTTCATGTTTTTTTCTTGGCTTTCACAAAATGGACACTTCTGAGTGGAAGATGCTGTGCTGAAACTCAGAAGCCTTTTCCTTAGAAGCATGATCCTTGATGTGTCCGTTCTGTGCTTTCCACAAGTGACACTCTTCATAGACCCTCTTTGTACATTTCCTATGGAGAGAAACATCCATTTTCGGAAGTCAACCATTGTTTGCAACCTGACACCTTTAGGTTTTCCATCCCTGGAGTGGCTCTGGTCCTTCCTTCTGCTCTGGCTCCATGAATGAAGCAGTCACTCGCCTCAGATGATTCTGGAGTCACTGAGTTTCTCTTATTTATTTGAGCCCTTTGAAATTAAACAGAATGGAAAAACAGATATACAGTTGGCATAGGATTATGTTCTGCTAAAGAGTGTTATCAATAGGTTTCATTTGTCTCATTTTAAGACCACTCTCCCATGTGCATGCTGACATACACACATGGATGCCCAGGGTTGATATCTGAAATCATCCTCAGGCACTCATTCACCTTTTACACTGAGCTTCAGTCTCTCACTCAAATGTAGGTATCACGAATTTGACTAGCCTTGCCTGCTAGCTTGCTCTGTGAATGCCCTTTCTTCTGCTTCTGAGGCTCGAATTATAGGCAGGCTGCTACACCCATCTGGTATTTGTGTAAGATTTTGGGGATTTGAACTCTGGGTCTCTCACTGGATCAGGAAGTGCTTTAACCCACTTAGCCATCCCCCAGCACTGAGAATTGCCTTCAATAAGAATCAGATAAGTATCACGTTTATACTCCTCATTTTATGCTTTAAAATTTACTTTTATTATTTTTAATGATATAGGTGGGGGAATGTGCATACAAATGCAGTACCCTGGGAGGCCAGAGGCCTAGGATCCCCTGGAACTGGAATTAGAGGCAGTAGTGTGCTGCCATGTGGGTGCTGGGAATCGAACTTAGGGCCTCTAGAAGTGCAGGAAGTGTTCTTAACCTCTGAGCCATGTCTCCCCAACCCATGCTTTATTTTTAACCTGGAGAGCATTTGTCATCTTCATCGTCTACAAAAAACAGTATAAGGATTTCTGTTAAATCTACCAAATCTCCACCTTTTATTTTTCCAGATCTCACAAGTTCTTTATCTCACCAGGCAAAATATCTTTGGATATTATCCCTGCCATCACCTAAGTTTCAAGCTCTTGCATTTGGGAACATTTGAAAGCAGCAGGCAATGAAGCAACTCCTTTCCTTCCAGTTTCTGTGTCACCACTAGTGTCTTAGTTTTTTCTTCTCTCAAAAGACTTGTTTCTCTTATTATCCATGTCAAGATAACCTTTATGTCATTTAAATCATTTTCATAAAAGGATTTGCTGCTTCCCTAGTGGGTTCTCACCAGCCCTGAACACTTGCACTTTCCCTTCAAGTAGTAAGTTACTTCACTGACATCAACAGCATTCTGGCATGAAGGCAAGAGATACAAATGGTACTATGGTACTGTGATATTAATTATCAGCTCTTTTCTGATGATGTCAAGCTTTCCTAAGACAATGTTCTGCTCAGGGAGGACCCATAAGATTGAATCTTTAGGCAAGGTAGCAGGGAGCAAGAGTAGCTGTTGGTATCCCTGGCAGCCTATGGAGTTGTGTTCTTTGTTGTTTGCTAGTTTTTTTGAGACAGGCTTTCTCTGTATAGCTCTGGCTCTCCTGAAATTTGCTTTTTGACCTCGAAATCACAGAGATCCGCCTGTCTCTGCCTCCTGAGTGCTGGAACTAAAGGTGTGAACCACCACCACCCCGAACTAAAAGTGTATGCCATCACCACCCACAGAGTTGTGTTCTTGAATGATGATGGGAACAGATACAGGGCCTACTATGATCTCAGGTTTCAAGAGGGGTAACAGGATCAGGATAAGGTTCAAGAAGGGAAGAGGAGCCAGACAGGTGTTTGAGGTGTCCAGAACAGGGAGAAGTAGGCTGGAGAGCTAAGCCTCCAGCTTCCTTTGTCTTCACAGCCATGAAGCCAACCAGCCAGGCTCGGTGTCAGCATCAGTGAGACAACCATAAAAAGTACTCTTGGAGACAACTTAGGTGTTTCTTCTCATTGTGGAGCCTGTGTCTGACCACCCATAATGCCTTGTGGCTGGCACTAAGGATGACTTTGGAGCATATATCTAGTCAAATATCAAATTGAATAATGACAGTCAAAGTCATTGTTGTCAATGGTGCTGCAACAGGGCATTTTGAAAAAGAATAATTTGTATGATTGAAACCTGGAGTTCAGTGCACCTTCAAGCACCATAAATCTTTCTGGTCTCTTTTGCTAACTATTCTGTCTTGATTAAAACAACAAGCAGAGCCAGACAGGGGTGGCACACACCTTTAATCCCAGCACTCGGGAGGCAGAGGCAGGCGGATCTCTCTGAGTTTGTGACCAGTCTAATCTATAAGAGCCAGTTCCAGGATAGGCATCAAAGCTACACAGAAAAACTCTGTCTTGAAAGAAAAAAACAATCAATCAATCAATAAAAACAGTAACCAGCTAACCATTCCTGGATTAAGGAGGTGGGGGGTTCTAAAAAGATAAAGGTGGGGGATAATGGAACTAGACATCATTTTCATGTTGTTTCTATTCAGCCAACCTGCTGGGATTTATTTTAGACAAAAAGACCTAATTTTTATTTCATGGCGAATTGCCTGGTGCCTTAGGAAAGGTAAATCAAAGAGAACTGGAGGAGGGTTTGCTCCCCTAAGGTTAGTCTAATAACATATAGAGTCTGTAGATTTGGCCAATTGTCAATGACTATTTTACTTTTATAAAAAAATTATTCGAAAATTTCTTTCTTGTCACCTGTAAAATGAAAATAAAATTAACTTCTGGAAAATACATTACATGGAACAGTTATCTGAAGTGGCCTGCTACATGATACATCCTGATTCTTCCTCAGAATTTATTACCACACACATAATTACATGTTCTTGCCTAGAGGTCACACTGGCCCAGTAGCTGGCTTCTCTCTTTGACATAAAAATGAAAATGTCTAGACTTCTTGTTTAGCTTATTATAGACAAAATAGAGAAAGATAAGATTGGCCCAATTATCTTTTAAAATAGCTAAAAGACTTCATAGTAGATCCTCTAAGTCATGTGAATGCTTTAGTGAGGAAACAAGTTTGAATTCTTAATTCTGTCATCTGGACAGTAAATAGGAATATATCAATCATGCAGAATAGAAATGGCCCGAAAAATATATAATATAAGAAATTAAATTCTGACCATTTCACAAGAATTCTAAAACTTATTTATTCAATTTATTAAAATATGAGCTTTCAGAATAGATAAAACATGATTCTAACACAAATACAAAATGACTAAGTCTGGCCTAGAACATACCTCAGTTGGTAGTAGCTGCCTAGCATGCACAAAGACCTGTATTCAAGCCCTAGCAGTTCATACAATTGGTGTGGTAGCACATGCCTATATTGTTGACACTCAGGAGTTGGAGGCAAAAAGATTAGAAGTTCAGTGTTATCTTTGGCTATATGATGAGTTCAGGGCCAGCCTGGAACACACCACATCCTACGTCAAAAAGAAAAGAAAAATGTAAAATATATACTGGGGCTGGGAAGATAGCTCATTTAATCAGGTGTTTGTCATGTAAGAAAGAGGACAAGTGTTCAATCCCCAACACACACCTAAAAACACTAGGCACAATAGTGCATGCTTATTCTCCCAGCACTGAGGAGGTAGAAACACTGAGGAGGTAGAAATAGGCAGATTCCAGAGGCTCTAGCCTGTGAATCGCAGTTGCCATTAGAAATTTAGTCTCAGGCTTCTGAGGAATGACACCTGGGGTTGACTTCTGGCCACACACCTGCACACACATGTAATTTTTTCCCTCATTCATTAAGAAAACTTCACATGTTACAACTGTTTCTAAGGCAAAGTCAAACCTCAGATTTGTATCATTAAAGGATCACTAAGATGAACTGCAAAAGTGTTTTTTTCCAACTAGGGATGGGAGAGCTCAGTATACCTTGGCCTAAAGGACTTTTGTGCACTATGCATTCCACTTCTTTACAGTCTGAGAGTTTCGAGGTAACTCAGACAATAAACAATGCTCAACTTTTGACAACCGAAATGACACAATGAGCAATTTCCCGTTGGAATACAAAATACCTATTTAGCATTCCCTCCATTTTTTAATTAAAAATAATCTCAAGGAAACATTGTTTTGCTTACAAAATTCCAGCAGTGACCTTATTAGAGTGAGTCTCATACTTTTTCCTCCTCTAGCAGGCTTCATGTGGGTTCCCAGGTGAAACTTGAAACTTCCTGGATGCTAGATAGCACAGTCATTGACTCACATTTCCCCCACAATACTTTCAAATTTGAGAAAAATCTCTTTCAAAGTCCCCAAACATACTCAGCTGGTTGGGTCCACCTGGGAGTGACTTTATTTACATACTTGAAATTTTGGTGACCTTGTAAGCTTAGTGCCATTCTGACTTTCTGAGTAGAGCTTTCGAAAAATTGATCCCAGAAAGGCAACCTTAGGTCTCTAAAACCGCATGCTCTTATCAATTAAATGAGTTTAGTTCTCAAACCTGACATAGCAGTTGAAAACCTGACAATCTAACAACTGTCCAATTATATCCAGGTAACAATGAAGAGAGACTCTTGTTGCCTCTTCTTAAGCCAAGTTACCTTGCCATTAGCATAATTATATTCAGTAAGAGCTTCCAAATTCTGAAGGAGTCAGACAAAGAAACAAAAAAAAACTGTTTTAACTTTTAAAATCAAGATTGATGAATTAAAGTACTCAGCACTGACTTTTTCCTTCATAAGGAGAACAAAGATCTATAGCCGCATTTTGAGACGAATGACTATGGGGAAAGTCAACAAGAGGGTAGTGTAACTTTCTAATATTCATAGACCTAAGGTATCGTAGAAAGAGAAAGAAAACATCCTGACATATGGTACTCAAGCTTCACAGCTGCAGGAAGTGAAGACTACCCTTTGCAGGGAAGAGGCAGACTCCCAGTAAACTCTCCCAGTGTGGATGCTGGCGACTCAAAAGTGTCTAAGTCCTCACAAAATTGCAGCCCACTTCTATAAACAGTGTGAAAAATGCACAATAACCTTGCCTTGGGAAAGGACCTTACATCATCTCCCAGTGAGCCACCAGGGTGCTGAAGCCAGAAGTTATCTCAACAAGGAGCTATTGTGTGAGCTGGCTATTGAATGGGTCAGAAATTCCTGCATTCTCCCCCTCTGTGGGAACCTGGAGAGCCTATTGCACTGGCTAAGGGATTAACTGCCTAAACCCAATCTGTCAGTAAGAGTGATTGTGAATGGAGCCCACTTAGTGCCTTGCTCTGTAGGGTATGTGTGCTGTAACACAGCAGGGATTGCAAATACTGCTTTCCTAAACCAGATCAGCCTTCCTCTGTAACACAGGCGGCGTGGCCAGCAGCATGTAGACCCATGCCATGGCCAGGACTAAATCCAGGTGCCCATGAGATTTCCACCATCCCTCCCCACTGTACTGTGCTCAAGTGCCCCTTACTGGTAGGGTAATAGGGGCTACTATGGTTCCCATAGGCACATGCTGAGGGGACCTTGAGGAACCTCAGAACTCTGGCCATCACAGTAGCAGTCAGGGGAACAAGCCCAAAGATATTGAGAGGAACTATGCCTTATTTCAGCTCTCTTCCCGCTCTTGGATATACACCGAGTCAAGGGAGAAATGCCAGACTTCACCAGCTTCCCAGAGGAAAAAGTCGTGCTACGACACTCAGATGAGGATCCTTCTGCATCAGTCTCCTGAGCATCTGGGATAACAGGTCCATCTATCTCACCAGCAAGAACTCTTTTTCAGATGAGCACGTGATCTTACATTATCTGTGTCAGGGATTCTAGGAAAATAAAGCTCTGAATCCTTTGTGGGAATTAACCAGTTTCCTTGAGGTGTTTTCTCCCATGGAAAGCAGGAATACAGGTTGGGTTCTTTCTATCGGCATCTTTTCATCACTTCCTCAGAACACTTTGACGTGATCTCATACTATGTACCACGTACTGACAGAATGTTTCTTCTTATACGATCCTCTCAGGTCCTTACAATTTTATGCCTCAGGGCTCTCAGACATTCAAAGTGAAAGTACATTGGATCTTTTGGGCCAAAAGCCATTCTGCCTTAGATCATTTTTTTTCTTTATAACAATAAGACAGTGTTCATAGTAAGAGAGTTTAACAGAGCTTGGTTGGGATTTGTTCTTCCTACAAACAGTGGTTGAAACATAAGCAACTATTTTCACTTTTCTCTACCTTAGATTACTATCTGTAAAGTACAAATTTAGTGTGCTGCTCTTTAGAGGTCCCAAAGTTTTAATATATGTACTCTAAAGTCGTCCTATTTACAGTTAACTTATTTTTCTTTTTTGTTGAAATGCATCTGTCTTAGTTTCTTTCTGGACCTGAGATAAAATACTCTGATGAAAGCAACTTAAGGGAAAAAGGGTCTGTTCATTTTGTTTGGGTCAGAGTTTCATGGTACAGTCTGTCATGGTGGGGAAGTCATGGCGGCAAGAGTATGACAGAGCTGCTCGTCGTCCATCCACAATCATAAGGGAGAACAACAGATGCACACATGTTAGTGCTTGGCTCCCTTTCTTCACTCCTACCGTCTAGGGAACAGTGCCACCCACTTAAGCACCAGTCATCCCATCTTGGTTAACATAATTAAGATAATCCCACAGATTATTACTCAGAAGACAATCTCTCAGATGATTCTACATTTTTTCAACCTGGCAAATAAAATCAATCATCACAATATTGTATATATTTACAGTACAAACAATGTGATGGGGTGATGATAATTTTATGAAGAACATAAATCTTGGGGCTGGAGAGATGGCTCAGCGGTTAAGAACACTGACTGCTCTTCCAGAGGACCCGGGTTCAATTCCCAGCACCCACATGGCAGCTCACAACTGTCTGAAAATCCAGTTCCAGGGGACCTGACACCTTCACACCAATGCACATAAAATAAAAGACAAATAAATCATAAAATTTAAAAAAAACAAAAAAGAATATAAATCTTCACATTAAGTAAATTCAATCAAATCAAGATAGAATACACATAGTAAAGCCATAAAAACCAACTATCACATCACCCTGGGACTAGATACACATATGATAAAAACAGGAGTGATTTGAGGTTCACCAAAATCCAGGATAGTCATTACATCTGGAAAGGAGGATGAATAAGTTCAAAATATATAAGTTCTTATACTCAAACGCTTTACAGGGTGAATGGAGTTTTTTGTTTTTTTTTTTTTTTTTTGTCTTTTTGGTTTAGTTTTTCAAGACAGGGTTTCTTTGTGTAGCCCTGACTGTCCCAGAACTTGCTTTGTAGACCAGGCTGGCCTCTAATGTACTAAGATCCACCTGCCAGTCTTCTGACTGCTGGGATTAAAAGCATGTGCCACCAACACGAGACGTGAATAGGTATTTTTGTTCTCTAAATTATACACACACACACACACGCAAATATATTTTGGTAAGTAGAAAATTTATGAACTACTTCCATTATTGCCAAAGGGCATTTAGAAGTATTCCTCTCTTATTAATTTTCAGGAACATTTTGGGAAATATGAGGAATATTTTTTCTTTAGATTCTGAATAGAATTTAGCTATGAAGCATGGTCCCTTATCAGTTCTGTACTTTCCTAACTTCTTATGAGAGTACATTCTCTTATGAGAATTTATTTTCCACACTAAATTCTGTATGAACAAATATTACATGTTAATAATAAAATTTAAAAACACATTTGCAATTTTTAAAAGCTAAGTGGTGAATGTGTAACACCCTGTGTGTGTTTTTAGTCCTGGCAATAACAACTTATTGAGAATTTTCTATGTGAACGACAGTTTAAAAGCACTTTAGATGTACTAATGTTTTAAAATTATTAGAACTGCCATATGGGCTAACGGAAGGAAAAATTACCACAATAGCCTTTTCTGCACACACTCCTAAGCCTGAGCAGCCTTGAAAACAGGTACCTTGTTGGTACTGAAACTGCAACCTTCTCCTTTAACTCTGAGCAGAGGGTGGGCCGGGCCAAGTCCGTCAGTTTCCCAGCGCCTGCGGGCCGCCTTTAGGGCCTGTGGCGCGGAAATGCTAGCCCGGGCCACGTGACGGCGGGCGGCACTCTGGCTTCCCTAGAGCCGTCTCTATGGTATTCTCCCCAGCCCCCCTCAGCCCCCCAGGGTAGCGGCACGTGACCGGCCCGGGACTACGGCAGGTTCCCACGTGATCCTGGCCTGCAGTAGCGTGGCTGCGGTGAGGCTCCTGCGCTCCTGAAGGGCGGGCGCAGAAGTCAAGGCGGCCTCAGGCGGATTCTTACTGGCGGCGGGATTGGGAAGAGCCCCCAGGCGGTGACCGCTTTGCTTCGGCAGCTCGGGTCAGCTCGTTCCGTTATCTCAGCCTTCGCTGGCTGCGCTGAGGCTGACCAAGTTCCCTTTGGGTTTGGAGCCCTTGGGGAGTGAGGCCCCAACTCGGGACCAACTCCTCAGCCACCTTGCCCTCCCTCTCCTCCATCTCTTCTTCGCACGCCGCGAGTCGCTGGTCCCTTTGGGCTGGCCGGCTCGGCTGTGCCGGAGACTAAGTTCAGGGCGGTAAAGGTAACTGTGGGAAACGCGGCCCCCCAGTGGACAAAGGCGGAGGCAGGGCTAGAGCAGGCCCAGGGCCGCGGGCGGTGAGCAGAGGCAGTTGAGGAGGTGAGCCAGAAGACAAGAGTACTGCGCATATAGAAGGCACTGTGAAGGACTTGTTGCGCGATGGAAGAATCTGACTCCGAGAAAAAGACGGAGAAAGAGAATCTGGGCCCAAGAGTGGAGCCTCCACTCGGGGAACCGGAAGGATCGCTTGGGTGGGTGAAGGGTATATTATGTTGTACCTAGGAGGGAGGGTGTGCTAATTGGAAAGAGTATTGCGAACGGCAACAACCCCTAACCTCCAGGGATAAATTGCTGTAATTTACCTGCATGGTTGATTGATATCATGCCCTTGATGATAGAAGACAAAAACGGAGACCAGAAACAGCCCTTTGCCTGAAGCTGAGATTCCTGGTTTATGCGTAGTTGTCTAATTGAGGCAGTTCTGAGTTGTTTTGCGTTTTGTACAAAGGTGATTTGGTGATATCACCACGTTAGTGATAAAAAGGGGGAGAGGACATTTACTGACCAATGACGTATAGTTTGATATGCCTGTTTGAGAGCTGCGTTATATGTACTTGGTGCCTTTAATGAATGAAATGCAGCTTGGAAGGACGATTGAAGGTCCAAAGATGCTTCCAGCTTTGAAAATGAGCTAAATTAAAAGCATAGTATTCAAATTAAAAATATTGTTTGACTTATAAAAGTGCACAGAGTATTGTGTTAGTTTTATGACAAATATCAAATCTTGAATTTAAATTGTTTTTATTTCTAAATATGTCTTCCCAGGAAGCATCTCCTGAGCTAACGAAGGAAACAGGGAACGTAGACCCAGTTTTATAATTTAGAAAAATGAAGAGTTCTGAAACGAGGTCTCCTGCGTACTTAGCTGTTTTAAACAGTATTCTTCTTCTCTCCGTTTACCTGCCTTTTTTTTTTTTTTTACAAATTTCTAAGGCAATTAGATCATGGAAACACTGTCTTTTGGTTTATATCTACAGGTGGGCAATGCCAAACGCAGCCATGAAGAAAAAGGTAAGATGTGGTAGGTACATTAGAAACATGAAGAAAAAGGTAAGAAGTCACAGTTCAGGAAATCTTTTTCTGAACTGTAGCAATAACTTATATGGTCTTTTGGACTCTCATCCCTTTATTTACTGCCAGATTCCCTTTGTCTAAAATTAATCTCATGGAGTCAAGCCATATACAAATATTACACAGCCCTCTGTGTGCACATTGATTCTTTAACACAAATCAAATGTTCCATGTGTTTTGCTAGCTGGAATTGAATGTTCTTTGCTTTGCACATTTATTGGGACTTAGTATTATCCCTAAGACTGTAGCTCTGAAGCAATTTCTTGACCTTTGTGAGATTTCGTGCCAATCTGTGAAGGGGTCATAACCCTCCCAAGACTATAGGAACTTTACATGAGTAAACTCCCCGTAGAGCTCAAATATAATTATCCTTGCCTTTTCATAAAAAGGCCTAATACTTTTAGCCTGACTTCATCTAAAATTTAATTCTGTGCCTTAAGTTTGATGAAATGTCTGAAGTTGCTATGAACAAGGATGCCTAAAAATGCCAGAAATCTCTACATGATTAGGAGCAAAAATTAGAAACAATTGAAAATCTGAAAAAACTGTGAAAAGAGAAAAAGGGTAAAACTTTATTTGATTTAACCATTCTACAGTATACACACATTAAAGAATCAGTTTGTATCATCAGAAATATATAGTTATTGTTTTCAATTACATTTTTTTTGCAAAAGACAGGGGAAAACTTCCATATTAATTTTAGACTGGCTAAGCAGTTACATATTCTTAGGGAGGTAAAGCTATAAATTGTTGGATTGAATAAATGCATATCCGGTCCGGTATGTTTTCATTAATGTTCCTTGTAATCAGACATTTTAATAAAATACATTGGGACTGAAGGTAGAGACTAGGTATCCCTTTCATTTGAAAATGAGACGATTATGAGAATTGTATTTCATCGTTTTTGTGTTTAGAAGGACTCTTTGAAAGTCATTTTTAAATTTTTTATTCTGCACACCAACCACAGTTTCTCCTCCCTTCCCTCCTCTTCCCCCCCTCCCCCCCTCTCCATTCACTCCACATAAAGGGTAAGGCCTCCTGTGGTGAGTCAACAAAGCCTGGCATACCAAATTGAAACAGGACCAAACCCCTCCCCCCCTGTATCAAGACTGAGCATGGTAACCCACCAAAAAGTCAGTTCATGCTCCAGAGATAAGTCCTGGTCCCATGCTAGGGGCCCCACAGAAAAACCAAGCCACACAACAGTCACCCACATTCAGAGGGCCTAGTTTGGTCCCATACAGGCTTCCCAGCTGTCTGTCCGGAGTGTCAGCAGTTTCTGTGGGTTTCCCCATCTTGATCTCGACCCCCTGCTCCATGCTCATTTAACCCTCCTCCCTCTCTTCCACTGGACTCCCAGAGCTCAGCCCAGTGCTTGGCTGTGGATCTCTGCATCTGCTTCCATTGGTTATTAGATGAAGGCCTATGATGACAATTAGGGTAGTCCTCAATCTGATTACAGGGAAAGGCCAGTTTAGGTACCCACTCCACTATTGCTAGGAGTCTTAACTTGGATCTTCCTTGTGGTTTCCTGGGAGTTTCCCTAGCCCCAGTTTTATCCCTAAACCCATAATGGCTCCCTCTATCAAGATATTGCTTTCATTGCTCTCCCTCTCCATCCCTCCCCCAACTTGACAATCCTGATCCCTGATGCTCTTATCCCCCTTCCATTCCCCTCTACCCACCCCCACCCCAGTTTACCCAGGAGATCTTATCTATTTGCAAGTCATTTAGTGCAAGAATATGTGGCATTATTCACAGGTGTCTTTCTTGTGTTAAATCCTAACACAAGAAAGATGACTGTCAGGTCTTGCTTTCAGACAGTTGTCATTGCATTTTAGTTTTAATGGCTTGTCCCTTTTTTGATGAAAATACTTCAAGCTTTTGTTATATATTAGGCACTGGAGATAAAAAGGGCACAAAGGATACAAAGAAACTCCCTCTGCCCTTCAACAGTTTGAAGTCTTGAGAGAGTTCCCAAAACAAGGGACTGCAGAGCTTTATGGTCTGCAATGATATAGTAAAACCACTAGAGGGCACTTAAGTCAGCCTAAGGCAGTGGTTCTCAACCTTCCTAATGCCTTGACCCTTTGATACAGTTCCTCAAGTTGTGGTGACCCCCAACCCTAAAATTATTTTTGTTGCTACTTCAAAACTGTGATTTTGCTATTGTTATGAATCATTATGTAAATAACTGTGTTTTCCAATGGTCTTAGGCAACCTCTGTGAAGGAGTCATTCAACCACCCGGTGGGGGGTTACACCCCACAGGTTGAGAACCACTGGCCCAAGGCATTTGTGTCAGAGAAACTATGGGGAGGATACTGCGGATTGAACCCAGGGTTTCACTTGTAGGAGATAAATACCCTAGTACTGAGGCACATCCCCAGCTCCAGAGAAAATTGCTGAGATGATTGTTAAACCAAGTGTTGAAGGACATGTGTGACTTAGCTGAAAGAAGGCTAAAGGATGGTAGAGAATACAGACATAGTTACGATTCCATAGAGGACTGGAAACAAAGAGACTATATGCCATTCAGTTCAATGTGACTGGATACTAACAGTTCCGGGCCAGGAGAATCGGGAGGTGAAGACAGAAGTAGATAAGCTAAACCAAGAATGACCTTGGGTATAATTTTAAGTGCCCAATTTTGTAGGGCATAGGAAAGTTAAAAAGAAAAGACAGAAAGCTGATGAAAGTTATAGAAAGATGTGAAAGGGATGAGATCATGGCCTGGAGTGAAAAGAATTGACCTTGAACAGAGAAGTAGGAGCAGCTTTTCAGTTACTCTGAGATCTGCTAGTTTCTGTCAATGTATGTATAACCTTGAATTATAAGAGAATAGGGTTAGTTTCATATTAAGATGATAGTTTTCTTTTTTAAAAAATTATCTTAATTATTTGTTTTTTCAAGATTTATTTTTATGTGCATTATTTATTTATCTGTTGTCTCTGTGAGGGTGCCAGATCCCCTGGAACTGGAGTTACAGTTGTTAGCTGCCGTGTAGGTCCTGGGAATTGAACGTGGGTCCTGTGGAAGAGCACTCAGTGCTCTTCACCATTGAACCATCTCTCCAGAAAGATGGCATTTTTCTAACACTGTTCTAAATAAATATTATGTATAATAACAAGGAACTGCAGAGATGGCTCATTGGTTAAGAGCATATACTGCTCTTCCTGAGGACCTGAGTTTGATTCCCAGCAACCCCATCAGGTGGCATTAAAACTGCCTGTCATTGCAGCTCCTAGGGGACCTCACATCTCTGACATCTGCAGGTACTTGCATTCATTCATGTGCACATACCTCCCACACACATATGCAAAATTAAGATAATAGAAATAAATTTTTAAAAATATGCATAATAACAAACTCACTGCCATT